ATTTATATATATATTTGTCATAGGTCTATAAGATCCATCTGTTCCTCCTACCCTAAGGAATGGCTAATGTCATCACTTCGTTGTCATCAGGACGTTTGCTGGTTTTGTTACTAGGGCAGCCGAGCTTCCCTTATTCAATATCCAGTAATTATAAACACTAGCTGACTTGAATACCAACAAAAACGTTCATGTAGTTTTCTTCAGAAGTACACTTTTTCATTATTGCAAGTTTACAATTTTTTAAATTAAATATTTTTTTTCAGACTTACAAATTAATTATATTTTTTTTTCCAAAAGAAGTTTAGGCACAAATGCATTGTTCCACAGTGTGGAAAGATTGCCATTCAGTCTCTGGGCTGCGTCTCAGCCTGCACACGCCGCTTTGCACATTCTGAATGATATGTTAGAGGGTCACCCCTCAAGTTGCACTTTTTTCTTTCTTTTTTTTTGTGTGTTTTTCGGTTTTTTGATAATTGGGAATGCTGAAACCTCTTGCGTCTGCGATTCATAACTACTCAGACTTGTCTTATATTACAAAAAAAGGGGTTAAGGAGAAGTGTTTATGTGGGTTTAAGATAATACAGCTGTTAAGGAAGTGGTCTCTTGTATTAATGAAGCAATGTGGCAGCTTGGACCTGAGAAGGAAAGAGAGAGGAGAATTAATTCATACGCTTATCACAGAAGAAGTAAATGTTTTATTTTTAAGCTCTTTTCCCCCCAAGGGGAAGAAAAAAACTCTGTTCAATTTGGGGGAAAGCGGACTTTCCTGGCTGACTCCTTGCGAGGGACTGACCAGGGAAAGGGTTCCCGAAATGGCTGAGAACACACTTGCCCTTTTACATCTGTCCCATGTGGTTCGACGCATCTCCCATTCCAGGGTGCGGGCCCGCCAAGGAGAGCGGGGGAGGCTCCGAGGACACCTTCTCTTCCTCCCTTCTTTTCAGACACGCGGCTTTCGGGTTCAGATTCCTTTCTGCGGAAGACGGAAGCAGAGAGTTTAGTTAGCGCCGCGCGTCCGGCAGAGGGTGGGAAGGCACTACTCTGCGCACCTGCTGACCCTTGCTCTGCGTTTCTACGTGACAGAGCGAAAGGCAGCGCTGGGAAGGGCGCACTACGACCATCCGTGCGTACACATGGCAACGTCCTAACGCAGTCGGACTTGTAAGAGAATCCTGTAACTTGGCCGCGGGAGAAAGGGAAGCTGCCTTACAGATTCAGACGTGATCTGCACCCGACCCAGCTGCTCTCAACGATGCTTCGGGGTCTGCTGCTCTGCTCCTGCTCGAGGCTGGCAAGTCCATCCCCACTCAGGGCCGCCAGCCCCCGCGACTTCTACAAGGAGGCGGCGGCGGGCTGGTACTGACCTCGAACTTGCTGCTCCAGGCTGAGGATGACGGCCACGGCCTGGTGGAGGATCAGGAGCTTGGTCTGGGGCTTGTCGCTCTTGAGGTGGAGCTGCACCATGCGGCCGAGCTCCTTGAAAGCCTCGTTGATGTCGCGGACACGCAGGCGCTCACGGGCGTTGTTCGCCATCCTCCGCTCCTTCTCGCGCTCTGCCTTCTGCTCGGGGGTCAGGTCCTCGTCATCATTATTGCTGTGGGACAGAAGGGATGCAACATTTTCTAATGGTGTGGGGAAAAAGAAGGTATCTAAATTAGTTTTGTTTTCTTCCAGAGCTTTCAGGGGACGTGTCCATCTCCGGCTGTTGTCCGTGGCAGAATTTTACATCCACTTGAACTCGGGACTGCTAAAATGGTGGTGACAATCCATTCACGAGACATTCGGTTTCTCCCAGACATTCAACCCAAACAAAAAGGAGAGGTTAAAGTTGGGGCCCAGAGCGCGCCCAAGCTGATGCAGGGGGCAAAGTGCAAACACAGCTTTGATCAATGAGGCTACACTCCACAAAGCAGGCCACAGTCAACTTAGCCTTTAAGCTACTCTGCATGACCACAGATCAGAGCGTTTTAGACTGAGGGTGTGTGTGTGTGTGTGTGTGTTGTTGTTGTTGTTGTTTTTAACTTTCATATGGTCACATCTGAAACCTGAGGAAAACAAGTGTTTGAAAAAGGATTTGGATAGGTCAGAATGAACACGACGCAGCTAAACAGGAGTAAGAAGGTCCTGCATTCAAGACACCAGAGCCCTGAGAGCGAAGACTGGGAACTTTTGTCCATGTTTCACCATTAACGAGCTTTGAAGGCGTGGCTGATCCACTTAATGTATCTGAGTCATTTTCTCCATGCATTAAATAAAAAGGTTATAAAAACATCATGATCTCCATGGCTTTTCACATCACAGATGTTTGTCATCCCCAAAACAAGTTGGGAAGTTGACATCCACTACAAAAGCAAACAAAACAAATACCAAACACCTACTACTTATAAATGACCATGATCTCACTGTGAGTCAAAAACGAAGTCCAAAAGCTAATCTCTGATCCTGAGAACCAAAATATTACATTATTCATAGCAAAGGCATGGTTGGACCCAGTAGAATGTGGAAAGGCAAGATTACTTCTGTCTGTTTCTGGGTGTCATGCTGACAGATGAGAAACTTTTGAATGGAGGGCAAATAGGATGATGGGCCATCTGGAAAGCATGTCATATAAAGAAGGTTTCATGACATCAGGGCTTAAAATATTTCATGGGTGATCATATAAAAAAAGAGGCATGAGAGATGTGTTGTCTCAGAAAGGCCGTACAGACCAGAGAACTCTGAGTGGTACAGACTGAGTTAACATGAGCAAGAAACTTCTTGGGTAAAAGAGATGATATCATAAGAGATATATAAAATGAAGGAAACTTCACTGAATAGTAACAGACTCCTCATTATATGAAACAATATGGAGGTAACCATCTGTAAGGATGTTAATCTAGAAGTTCAGGCATCGATCTAAAGGACCATGAAGGTTAAGCTCTACTTGAAAATTCCATGAATCTGAAATGCTCACAGAATAAAGATGTTAATCACAACATTTCAGATCAGGAAGACATGGGGTAAGTTATCTAGTCAATTCAATGTACACGAATGTTGGCTTAACACGTATGGCTCTGAATCTTCAACTTGGGAGAATCTCTGGGTATCTTCTAAATTGCAATAAGGACCAATTACAGCCGAGAAGCTCCAATCGATCAAAAATGGGAGTGGTATTCTTGGGTTGCAAGTACATGTTGCCAATACAGATGATGTACATAAGCCAAAAACACTTGTAAGGGAGGGAAAGAGGAAGACACCAAAGAAAGATGCTTTAAGATTTGGCTCATCTCCCCGTAGGTTAAACTCCCTTCCAGATGGGCCCGTCCGCCACAGATACGTGCTCGTGGACACACACTGAACCGAACCAGTGGGAAAAGGTTCTTCCTGTGCCGTCTGATCCTTCTCACTTCTTCTGCCGAACCCTCCTCCTTCTCACCGTGACTTCTGCTGATGGCGAGGAAGCCACGGTTACTATTAATTCGCATCCACATCCCACTACATAAATAGGAAGTGAAGTGAAAAGAGAACAGAACCAAATCTCTGCTGGGCCCATCCTGAAGTTAAAACTTGGGCAACATTTTTAAACACTGAACAGGTCGCCACAGCTTTCACAGCATGGGCCGGAAAGTGGGAACTTGTTTTCCAAAGGTATTCAGGCTAATAACTAATTAGAATTGGTTATTCACTCATAAATAATAAGCAGAATGGTTATGCAAAGAAAACTGCCTAGCACTGCCTTACATTACAGGCTTAGAGACATAAGCAAATGTCACGAGAGTCACCTTTTAAAAGAAGAAGGTTCTTAGCAGCAGGTTAAAATGTTGTATTGAAACTTCCAAGAACCTATTAATATGCATGTCACGGCCACTAGTTAAATTGCTAAGAACTGAGTGGACTGACAGATTCGATGGAAGGGATGTGAAAGCCCCTCCTTAAAATTTCACCAATGTGGCCACGAGTCAGGAAACTGCGTGGGGATGGTGGGAGTGGAGGGGTAAGGAGCTTTTAGGACTTTTGGAACTTTGGGCAGGACATGTAATAAAATCCATTCCAATCATTATAAAGGCAATATAAAAAAGCGGCATGTTCTTAATTCCTAAAGGACATTAGATCTAACCCTGAGAATGCCAGCTTTTAAAAGGGGACGTGCAGTCATGGCACAATTTATTTAACTTACAAATAAAAACAACCCAAGGGAATTGAGGCAAAGAACATGGGTGTCACGGTGTTCCAAAACCATCTGATCATCAGATTAGGATTAACATTCCAGGAGATAGATTCTAATTGAAAGAAATCAGATATTTAAGAAAACCAACCAGAAGCTATTTTCCTGCAGTTGTATTTTCTGTTGAAGGGAGTATCTGGGAGAAAAAAGTGAGCAATTCAGGTATTATTATTATTATTATTATTATTATTATTATATATATCCACATGTTTAAGATAAAGCTGGGAAATCAGTATTTTCTCACGTTTGAGATAAAAAAGTCATAGTTGCATATACCTCAATTGAGTTTTCAATACAGCTAAGATCTCTTTTTAGAAATATTTTGGAAAGATCATTTCTGACCAAATTCACAGAATAAGCATAGTTTTAAAAAATCAACCGTTTGCACTTGAATCAGTTACAAATTGTCTGCACTGTGTGCAATTAGCACGAGGTCCAAATTCATAAGTGCAGAGACATTTTAGGCTTCACTAGAGGACCAGTATCTTAAATGATACTTTAGTACCTCTAGAGCAAGCCATTAATTTTCTTTTCAGCTGTAGATTTACCTGCCAGGAAAAAACTGAATAGTTTCTTCCTGTTCTGTTCACTTCATCAAAGTCCAATAAAGGAATTAAATGAAGCGACAGTATCATATACTGTTACCTAGATCTTGACCTAGTAATCGATTTGATATCCTTCTTGTCGTCATCTAACTTCTTGTCCTCGGACGATTTCGTGTCTTGCAGGTTCTCATCGCCCTCATCGTCCGATTTGATCTCAGAACTGCCAGAGGAGACGCTCTGGCCCTGCAATCCTGGTGGCATGCCTACAGAAAAAAAAAAAGAGAGAGAGAGAGCGAGACCAGGTGACGCTTCCACCAAGGACTCGAGGCACAAACACACGCTCTGCAAATTGTGGAGTTGCTGCGTCTCCAATTCAGGCTGCTGAACTGTGATCCTTCTGCCGTGTTTTTTCATGCTATCTGGTGAAGTTTCAAAAATGCACCTGTGGAAGCAAGTTTTCCCTGCATTGGCTCCGAGGTTAAATTCTATTTTGCAATCTTTTGGAGTAGATGGTAATTTCACTGTCTACAAAACATCAACTTAATTGCAATGAAAATCATAATCATGAAAATCACACACCTCAATGTTCTGATTAAGAACCCAAGTAAATATCAGCTATTATATTGAGTTTCTTCCATATGCAATGATTTAATAGAAAAATGTCCTTAAAATATAATTCCCAGGGAGTACGCTAAATATGTGCCGTCAAGACTTCAATAGATACCCTAATGATATTCTGAAATTAGGCTTCTCTTATCCTCAAGGAGTAATCAGCATTTAAAAATGGTACATATGGAAAGCAGTTAGCTGCTCACTGAAGAAATTTCTAGCGTTACCACTGCTCAACTTTCAAGATCACAATGCATTTCAACTTTCAAGATCATAGTACATTTTAAAGCGTGACCCTCGTGTATCCACTTATTTCTAAGATAGAAGCATGTCTACTGGGCATTCTCCTCTATCTTTACTCACTCAAAATTTGGTCTGTGGTCCAGAAGCATCCTTATGACCGGAGCCCTTTAGAGATGCAGAATTCCAGACCCTTGAATCAGAATCTGCATTTTACAAGATCCTCAGGTCATGCCTATGTACACTGAAGTTTTAAGAAGCAGTGGTCTCTCTCTCCACATATGTGATTAACACACAGATTTGTATAATGTTTAGCAGGTGAAAAAAAGCTTCTGCCTATTCCCATGGCAGTTTATCATCTATATTCTAAACATGGAGGGGGGAATGAGAGGATGTTATTTAAGTGTCTGCGAGTCCCTGGGCCAGCCAGTCACCCAGGGAGCAGGGGACCTAGGTCAGGCCCCTGCAGTGTCACTTCCTGGGGTCATGAAAAGCTGCCTGGAGTCCGTGGTCTGAGGCAATCATTGCGGGCCGAGATGAAAACAGTGAAAATCATTCCACCAAGCTCCAGTTTTGAAACATACCTACATTTCCTTCGATCTTAAACGACAAAAACAATTTCCTTCCTTCCTCTTCATTTGGAACTATCATGTTCAGGCTACAACTAACCGCATTAGAGCACCAGAATGAGGAAAATGTGGAAATAGCTAAAATAAAATTTCCTCTCATCAGGCTGTTGTCTCATTCTCTGCTGAGAGAGGACCAGGATTTCAGAGGATGTTTGAGCAAAACAGTTCCCGAAGAAACACAATTAGCCGGCTGCGTTCTAACTACTTTCCCATTTGCTTGCCGTTTTTGTACCAAATTTGATTCTTGGTTTTCTGCCAGTGCTTCCTGAGGGATGAATGCCAAGTAAGCCTGGGACCAACACTGGAGTTGCTACTGTCTAAGTGAGGGCAGGGTGCCTTCAGGGGCGGACCTACCTCTGTAAGGGTCCTGGGGCGGGTTCAAATCAGGGGAAGTTGCAGACTGGACAGGAAGCTGCGGAACTGGAACCTGGTTTGGCACGAGAGAATGGCTGCCTCTCAGGGCCACACCGTCTTCACGATGGGCCCCAACCTGAAAGGGTGAGAGGAACCACAGAGTTTAGCGGGAACCAGAGGTAAGGCAGCAAGGACCTGCGGAAGGAAGACGGGCCTCTGAAAAACAAGACTCCCAAATGCCTTTCACTAGAGGGCGCTGAAGGACCACACATGCAGTCCACACATACTGAGGCCCATCACACTCAGTAAGATGCCGCACTGCACATTCAGTGATAAATATGGCAGAGGAGCTCAGGCAGGTAAAACGTCAAATTGTCTCCCAGGGTGCTGCAGTGGGGCGCACTGATTCCTACCCATCTGTCTTCTATCATGTCCGCCAACAGATCTGACAATTATCTTAATGCCCATATGCTTAATTGTGGGCTTCTCAATTCCCCCATTGCTATCGGAAATCCTACAGGAATTTCAATTTGGCATTCGACTTTCATTTCAGGGGATAAGATTCTCAGGCCTGCCATTTTTTTTTTCCATAATGCCAGCTAAGCCTCTGACAGCGGAAGCTACGGCAGTATGGGACACAGCCCCTGCTCGGTACAAATATAACAAAATGTCACCTGGCTCTCCAAAACTGGCAGCCCATTCCAAATTAATGTTTACTGCATTTCATCAGCTGCTGAGTTCCAAATCCAAAGGGGGACCGTTTCTGCCAATGCCAACACCCCGGAAAATGTACCAATAAAGGTTTTATTAAACACACCAGTGACGCCATCATTGCCATGCAAAGATGTCTGGACATTTTTCCATTCCCCGCCCACGATTCCGATCCTAGAAAGACACCATACTGTAAACACTCTTTAGGTTTCCATGAATAAAACTGCAGGATACAGCATGATGACTTGGTCTGGAAGAAATACTGCTGAGCTTTTTATTAACTACTACTACCCGCTCTGGGGTCCAGAGATGTTGCATAGAGATGGTGAGACAGCTCTTGCTGACTTTATAGCTGACGCCTTAAAGCAAAACCAGTAAGCGTTTGCAAACCAAGGGCACCGTGTGAGTAGCTTACGTTTTCGTTTGCATTTCCAAGGAGTTATTCTCTGAGCCTATCGCTGGGTGAGCACTGATGAGGGACAGTGGGTCTGACACTAAGAATATTTATCCGTGAGTTTCTACTGCTACGAACCAAAAAGTTTATTTTTTTCCCAATCCCCAAACAAAAACCCCACAAAGCAGAATCTTCCTTCTTTTGCTGCCAAGTGTTTTAAAAGACTATTTCCAAAGAACGCAACAACAATAAGAATCTGAACCGACAACAATAAAATTCACAGAACCGAAGGAAGAACATGCTATCTACAGGCGACCTAGTATAAAGTATCACCATTATATAACCCAAAACAGTGCAGAAGGAAATAACGCGGAGGGGTGGGGGGAAGGAGAGGGATCCCGTAAATCATACTAATTGCTCATATTCACAATATAGCAAGAATATAAAGGATTTACAGGCTCGTGAGCATCGGGAAGTATAAATGAATGCTGTGGCTAAGAGTCCAGGAGCTGTCTGCCACCCAGAATGTTCTGAATGGTGGCTATTTCGCTTCTGTGTGGGTGCTTCAAATGTCAGGAGACCATGATTGCCTCCTAAAGCAGCCCGTTCCATTTTAATCACAAGTTGGCCTCCTTGTATATTCCACCCACTGACTCTAGTTTCAACTTCTGGAGTTCCATGGAACGAGTGCAAGCCCCCTTCGTATACGTAATGCTCCCCCCCCTCAACAGGCCACTGCTCCATCCTCTCACTTCCAGGCAGGTTGGGCCCACCCGATGCCCCCAACCATTTCTCACTCACTCTTGGTCTGTTTCTATATTCGTTCCAGACAAAAGAGTGATAGCTCTTTTCCATTCAGGTTTCGATTTGCCATTTTTATATTTGTGCATTTAGAAGACTGATTCCATCGATGATTATCCTTTCAATCTAAGATGTCAACTTGTAAGGATGAATTTTACAGGGCTTGATCAAATGGTAGCTCTTTAAGTTTGTCAATCAATGTTAACCCAAATAATTAACGTAGCGCCGATTCGTATTTATTAGTATTCCCAATGGGTTTAATCTGGTAAATTTCCACAGAAGATGATTCTAAATTGGAATCATGGTTACTGAAGGTAACCACAGGATTGAGACTAGCAAAGATGTAAATCCCTTTTATGTTAAAATCATTCTATTAAAACACTCAAGCTTACTTTGTAAGTACCTATGATGTAATTTAAGGTTACTATTTTGCTTTTTACTTGAAATATATTCAGATATTGATCCTGCACTTCTTTTTTTCCTTCTAGATCACATTCAGATTAGTTTTTACAAGAGGAAAAAAGAGCCCACAACCAATGATCTTTATATTTTCTTTGCCTCAACTATTATGAAAGACTGAGTAAAAAGAATGTAATAATGAGAGCCAAAAATACCTAGATTTTTAACTGTAACTGGTTTCTTTGTTAGCTGTGTAACCAGGGACAAGGTATTCATATCCCAAATGGGAAAATAACACTAGGTTACAGAGAATGAGTCCCATGTTTATTGAAAAGGGAGGTAATATGCAAAGCAACTGTTATATAATAGGTACATAGTAATTGTAGATACTGTTATGTGAAAATATCTGAAAATACTTGCATACTGCATAAAAATAAGAGTCTGTGTGGTTCAAACACCTTCGGAACACAAGCTACCTTCATTCATGATCATCTTTGCACTCTTTGTCTCTATTTTGTTCACATGAACTTGATTTTAAATCCTTCTCCTACACAATGAGAGTAAAATCTTAAATGGTATTATAAGTATGTTTGAGAATTATAAATATGTCTGTTCCAACTATATTCATTTGGATTTTAGCCATACATATTACAGCTAACTTTATCTATTTTCTATAGATCTTAGGTCATCTCAAATATTAAACCTAATCATTTTCCATAAAGGAAGTTGGGAACAAAGTTACTCTTTATTTATTTATTTATTTTCCAGAGAGAGCGTGCACACATATGTGTGAGTGGGGGTTGGGGAGTGGGCCGGGGCAGAGGGAGAGGGAGAGAGAGAGAATATTTAGCAGGCTCCACACCCAGCGCAGAGCCTGGCGGAGGACTCGATCTGACGACCCTGAGATCATGACCTGAGCCAAAATCCAAGAGTCAGACACTTAACCGACTGAGCCACCCAGGGACCCCAACTCTTGATGTTTTAAGGCCTCCCTGGTAAACTTTGTACATTCCAGGCCAAATGAATGAATAATGATGGTAATCATGGAATTACCAGATCCATGTGGTAATGAGCCTGATTCTCCAGGATCAATTCCATTGCCTGGGGCTGTGGAATCATATTCCAAAGAATTAACTTTGCTTTCTTTGTTTCCTTGGCCACAGGCAGCTTGTCCTAACCCTGTTTACTTCTCTTTCAGAAACATTATTTCTGGTCGCATAAGAGACAAGGAAAGAAAGATAGTGGATGGCCAGCACAATCCATCACTAGAATACCTCCGAAATAGAAGGAGGAGCCATGTGTATATACAAGGGTCAGGGCTTGTCCATCTTCCAAATAATAAATATGTAATAATATAACTAGAAAAAAGCAGATTCTTCAACCCACAAATCAATTCTAAGGATGGCACCTATTTTTAGAAAACCTATATACTTCATTAAAGCCCTATTTTGATAATGTTTTCATCTAGATAAGCAATAGTTTAAAGTTAAAAGCCAGCCTAAAAAAGCAGTTAATTTTATCAATATTGATCATAATTTTTTTTTTTGCAATCTTTAAAATAGTCTTCTTAGTTACATACAATGTGGTTTTAGATATGTTTATGCTGAATGTAGAAGACAAAACTAAAATCTCAAAATTAGTCGGTAAGTGTTAACTGACATGTTAATCCAAGAAATATTTACTAATATAGTTCGTGCTTGTCACTCCAGGAGTTGCTAGGGAGAGGGCAGTGAATAACTTAGATGACCTCATGGAGCTTACAGTGATCCTCTGCAGCATTTTTGTGCACTGATCAATTTAGTGTGGCAGTTTTAACAGTAATAGGTAAGTCTCTCAAGTAAAAGGACATTCATCATGATTTCTGTAATTTGGGTTTTAGACCCAGAGAACTCTTCGGACCTACAGCCACTCCTTGTCTCTCATGGGCCATTCATTCCAGACTCTCTTGTCCCTCCACTGGTACCTCTCTCTCTCCGGCTTCTGTCCCCTCATGGCTACAGCCTGGACTCTCCCTTCATGCATATCTCTTAGTACATTCTTTCAGGTTCTGTACCTGCTGCTAACTCCCTGTCTTAGTATTTCTGAATTCAGAATGCCAAGATCATCTGATAGTGAACTCCTCATTTTGAAGCAGACATGGGCCATCCTTTGAATGGGCCACTCTAGGGTGAGGTGTCCCCATTAACTGGTTCAATGAGCTACAAAAGAGGAGGCGAGATTATGTGGTCCAAGCATGGCTGCCCCCCCTTCCACCCATATATCATGCCCCCCATATCATGGCTCTTGGGTACAAATATCTAAGTTACCCTGCATCTCAGGTCAAGTTATAGTCAAACCCTGACACAGCTATTCAAATTCTCCCGGGTTAATTTATCATTGGGAATAATTAAATATCTTTAGAAGTACATTACTTCTGGGCGCCTGGGTGGCTCAGTTGGTTAAGCGACTGCCTTCGGCTCAGGTCATGATCCTGGAGTCCCGGGATCGAGTCCCGCATCGGGCTCCCTGCTCGGCAGGGAGCCTGCTTCTCCCTCTGACCCTTCCCCCTGTCATGTGCTCTCTGTCTCTCTCATTCTCTCTGTCTCAAATAAATAAATAAAATCTTTAAAAAAAAAAAAAAAAAGAAGTACATTACTTCTTTTGGATCACATAAGCACCACATAATTTAAATAAACTTACTTTCCAAGGAAAGAATTGATATATTAATTAGAAGCACTTTTCACTCACAGTATAGAGACTAAAAGGGCTTGCGAGACTTGGAACCCAGTTAGGCCAAACTCTCCATTTTACAGAGAAGAAAGCTAAGGTCGGAGATAGTTAAGTGACTTGGC